CGATAAAAATGTGAATGGCGCTTACGATGTTTAGTTTCGAGCTCGTTGATAGACACCCTTATTTTCCTGTGTACCCTTGGCTGTTCCCTTGATGGTACAGTGGAAAATAAATTTTAACCGCTGTACCCTCGACCGTAAAGATGGGTTCATGGTTACACGAGTTAGAGTAGGCGCACACCGTTGATTTTTCGTCGGCCGATAGTTTAGTCGGGCTGTTGATCAGTATGGGCATGTATGGGAGTGCGCACACTACGCCGATTCGATTTGGCCGATTCATCATACAATTTGAAATCGGGCACAACTATCGGCCAACTAAAAATCAACGGTGTGCGCCTACTCTTATGGATGACGAAGAATGACACGCTCGTTTTCATACTTTTCATTCTATTTAGGTATTTGACATGCGGTATCTATTATTGAAATCTATGTGCGGAAACGTCACGAAATCTGAATCTTTATTGACCGCCGAACCCCCTATAGTGAAAAATACAATTTGTGACCATATTGAAAAACCTTGCTATTGTGGAAATTGTTTTTTATTCTCTTAATTTTTCACAGATCATACATACCTACTGATAAACTCTATTTTTCTTTTTATGAATCTCTAATCAATTGTATCTTAAAAGTATTATATTATGACATAGAATCACAGATCAATATACATACCTACTTATAAATAAGTAAAGTAGTTTTATTACTTACATACATAGTATTCGTTATGCAAATATTTCAAAGAATGCGCCCAATTTACGCAAGACAATAGTAGTCAAAACTGTACAAAATTTTAGTTTTCTTACCACATTTACGGCTATTTCTCATCCTAAAGTGTAGGTAGGTATGCGTTATGAGCAAGATTTTTGAATCGGGGGACAAAACATCTATTAACTATAACTATATTCTGTCACCTATTATTGGTACTACATATTTGATAGAACTTACGAAGCACTTTCAGGATCAGTAACTAGTTTTTTGATATCTTGTATAGTTTAGAAATAACCGAGTGAGATCACTTATCGTTTCCACCCTGTATACCACGAACTGCGCGATTTGGGACATCTTTTTTATTACATTACTAGCTTTTGCACGCGGCTTCACAGGCGTGAAATTCAGTTTCACAGATCGTCGTAAATTATAGCCTATAATACTTACATATATTATTCTGGGTTATAAACAATAATACTGTAAAGTTTCATCAAAATCCGTTCAGCAGTTTTTGCGTGAAAGAGTAACAAACATCCAGACATCCATACAAACTTTCACATTTATAATATTAGTAGGATCAATAAAATTGTCCAATAATTATATTATTATGTCAACCATACCAACTATAGACTATATTAAATTCTTTAAAAAAATGTCATACATTAATTACATTTTATTTTTTTACTGGTTATTTTCTACTTCAGTGTACTTCGGTACAACAAATTTCAACCGGTTCGTGTGTAAAGTTAAGAAGGTCGTCGATAAGTATGAATCCGTCGCTTTTTTGTATGCATTCGAATTTGGTCGGATAACCAGCCGGTATTTACAATTTGATATTTTTATGCATATCTTTTTTTAAGCGATACATTCTAAGTTGAATATTGTATTTTATATTTGTTCAATAAACGCTCTAATTATACGGTTAACATCCGCTCATCTTGGTGTAGCTGATTCCTTGTATTTTGACGTCAAAGTTATAGCTCCGTCGTAATTACTTTTAGTGATATTATTCAATGACCCATGAATGTGCGTTTTTGAAACTTTCTATGGTTATAATACGTCTTAAGAAGGATCGAATACAGTTTTCAGTGAGCTTGTATGTTTTGTTATTCAGGCGCTACACGATTTTTTCGGATTTTGAAGAAAGCTCGATTACTTGATATTTATAAATATTTTCATAAACATGTTTCTTTCACATATACGCACAAATCAAGAGCTACTCGTGTGTGTTTATTCTATAGGCGCACATATAACGGTTATTGAGATAGAGCATTCTGCAAAACGTTACCCTGGCAGGAAATGCAATATCTCGAAAACCTGAAGACGCACAAATCACATTTTCAGCTCAGATAATAGAACAAATATAAGCTATCTGCTCGTACACAGTTTTTCTCTTTCCGATCATTCGTTTAGAATTTTCCTGCTAGAACAACGTTACTCCAGCAGGAATCGTTTTTTTCGTTTTGTACCAAAACGACAGCACGCACTAATCTCTAATTCGGCGCACATTTACACCATGTTGGGAACTAATTATACGTTCTACTCATATCACTCTAGGAGCTACTTTCCAGCTGGAGTAACGTACACCATTATAACAACAATGTTAACAGCATTGTTGTGTTCCGGCAGTTAGAGGTAAGATAGCCAGTTCCTCCGTGGTTGAGGATTCCGGGTGAAGCTCGCTTCCACCTTCGGCCTGATCGTCACATACCATCAGGTGAGATACAGGCCAAGAGCTTCCTCGTTGTGGATAAAAAAAAATTGAAACAACAAGTATTTGGTAGCACGCAAACTTATAAAAAAGTATTATAATAAATTAAAAATATCTTTAGACAACTACGAGCCTTCCAAACCGTAGTAATGCTACAAACGTCTACGGACTACGGCCATTCGTAGCGCGCTACGGGTCGTAGACGTCGTAGTTACCTTTCGTAGTTTTGTAGCGCAGTTCATCATGGGAATATTTTAATTTAATTTGCTACTTTTTTGCCAGCTTTTAAATTATAAATATACATTTGTGGTTATATTAAATTGTATGAACCCAAGACATCTTTTGTGAACATTTATTTTTTTATACACAACGAGGGCGCTCTTGGCCTGTATCTCACCTGATGGTAAGTGATGATCAGGCCGAAGTAGCTTCACCCGGAATCCTCAACCACGGAGGAACTGGCTATCTTACCTCTAACTGCCGGAACACAACAACTCATTTAAAACTAATGTTACATAATAGTTATTATTCACGCTCATACTCGTATTAGATTGCAATTTCTTTGTTATTTATTAATCTGGTTTTTTCAAACATGCAATATCCTACAAAAACATTATGAATTTTTCGTAATAATAGCTACATTTATTTTTGTAAACAACAAATTGATTACGCTTTCCTTATTCAAGTGGAATCGAGATGCCATTATTTTATTAACAATGAAATCGATTAACCTTTATAATAATCGAGCGATATTTAATCTTGGCTCAGCAAATTCAACACAAGAAACAACAAGTCAAAGGAACAAGACCGGACAGGCACAATGCGAGGAAAATAAAATAACATCTTATAAAATAACAGGGTGGGGGCGCCCCCACCCGCGGACCACTTTTCTTTCTCTCGCCAAGCCATTTTGAAAGGAGCGGGAGATTTGTGAGGATATGCTTGATCTTAGAATGACAATACACAAAGAAAATGGGACTTATATCAAACTATTTTTTGGTATAAAATTGAATAGGCACTCACAGGGTAGATATGTACCATCATAGACTGCATCTCACTTAACACCATGTGCGATTGCGGTAAAATACCTGCCTTGTCTTGCATACAAAAAAAGTCGGGTTTACAATGAAAAATGTTTGTAATGAACTCAAAATTTTACGATAATTTTTAATTTTATTTAGCGAGACTAATTAGGTATCAATCAAGTGATATTATTTTACCAACTTTCTTTCCAAAGCACCCATGTATGTCCCATCCTATCCATTTAACATTAGTGCAGCTTAACCGTGGTGTTTGTAAAAAGTGCCTTTCCATCGCTACAAAAAAGAGGGGAAGAGGAAGACCCCAAACCACCTGGTTGACGTATGTCCAAAAGGACATGAATCAAATGGCAGCGTATGATTGGGAAAGTTGACCCTGCGTAACGGGATTAGGCAAGGCAGAAGAAGAAGAACCCTTAGGCTGAGTTGCACTATCTTATTTTAATAAACGTCAAAAATCTGTCAAATTCCATAGAAAAAACACCGGTTATTGTTATAGGTACGGTTAAAGTAAATTGGTTGGTTGGTTGGCAACTCAGCCTTAGTGTCACCTAAGTGCGGTTTTCTCTGAGTTATAAGCGATTACTTCTTCTGTAGTGAGCTTAAGTTATAATTCTCTTAGAGGAGCCTTAAAATGAGTAAAATACTTACTAGTAAAGTAAGTTAAAGAAGTTTTTGAATGTATAAAAAGAGAAAAAGTGTCTTTGTGACTTCTTTTTCTTATTAGCCCTTTTCTGATTAGCAGGTTCTAAACGAGGACATAATATGTAATGGTCAAGATCAGTCAGATCTTAACTTTGATTTTAATAAAGCTTAATTTATTATTTGTTTTCTCTTCACCGTCTTATCCCCACACTTCTCCCGTCGACAGAAACAGAGTGGTGTTTTTTCTCGTTTTATATTAAAATCGGGCGGGCCGAGGAAATTGTCAGTCGGATGGGAAATTGCCAGCGCCCCCATCGCGTGACCGGGGCACTAGACAGCCGCATTGCCAGTTGACGTTTTTATGTAACTATTGGCTCGGAAGGAGATAATCTAAGGCTGGGTTGCACCATCTTACTTTGACTTTGACAACGTCAAAAATCTGTCAAACTCCATACATAATGCTCCGGTTATCGTCATAGTTATCGTTAAAGTTAGGTGGTGCAACTCAGCCTTAGTCATATAAAGCAAATTCGATGCTAACAATGGAGTCACATCACCAATCAGTCGGGTATTTGAAACCTAAATAATCCTAAAGCACCAATTATCTTATAAAACTTAAACACCTACTATTCTAGTCATGAAGACTCAAATTAATTTCAATCAACTGTAAATATTGATTTTGAGACATTATTGACAAATTTTTATTATAGTTTCATTAAAATTAAGTTTTCAGGACTAAATTTTTGGAACTTTTTTCAAAGTTGCTATCCAAGTAGTACAACTATTGATAGGTTAAGGAGAATAGTAAATCAGCAGTATGCAAAAACGAGCTGGTTTAGGTAATAAGTGAAATATATTTAGCAAACGCCAATAGTGTGTTAATTATTTAATCACTACTCTGGTTTGAAGATCTCTGTCAAGTCGCCGGCAGTAGGCCACAGTTCATTTGTCATTTGGACTGTGTATGTTGATACTAGCAATAGTGTGTTAATTATTTAATCACTACTCTGGTTTGAAGATCTCTGTCAAGTCGCCGGCAGTAGGCCACAGTTCATTTGTCATTTGGACTGTGTATGTTGATACTAGCAATAGTGTGTAAATTATTTAATCACTGCCTTGGTTTGAAGATCTCTGTCAAATCGCCATCAGTAGGGTATACAGCTCATTTGTCATTTCGGCTATGTATGTTGATACTCCACTAACTTCTTCTGCCTTAAGCGATGCGAGTCTGAAATTAAAGACAATTCATATAAATAACAGATAAATAAGACCACGAAAGCTGTTGAATTGGGTAACGATTGATTGCAAAGTTGATTCATCACACTTTACAAAATTCCATAACATTGAAAGTAACGTAAATGCGCCTATTACCGCCAGTTTAAGCTGACTTCGGATAAACATTAGAAAATTAGATATAAGACGTGGTGATAGAAAATACACTTTAATTTATTTATAACAATGATGAAGTAGTCTTTGAATTCAAGTAGTAATAATGAGTATACAATTACACAATAATTAATAAATAGCAATTTAATCTGAAAAAGCAGTTGTTTCTATTACCGACCTATAGACGAGGTGTGTTTCTATTAACGTTTTTTCTGTTTCTATTACCGACCGCTAAGAATATTGCTCTTCAATTGGGTATATTCCAAGAGGCACGGGTTCGATTCCCGCTCAGAGGCTCGGGAACCACTTGATTTTTTCAAGTTAAATTTGTTTTGCTTTTAGTTTTAGTTAAATTTGTTTTTTTTTTTTCAAGTTAATTTTTTTTATTCTTAAAAGAGAAAAGGCACGCTTCTCGAAAATAAATAAATAATCAAGCAGAAATAGTAGAATAATAAATTCCTCTATTATACTTGATGACGCGGTACCCGGTGTTCTAGTGAGTAGTGGGGGTCATTATTTAAATTGTATTTGAGTTTTAATAAAATTTATTTTTCATTTAATATTTTATTTTTAATTTGACTATAATTCTTAAATAGTTTTTGGTTGATGTTAATTGTGTGTAATTGTGTATTTTAATTTAAACTATGAACAATTGGACACTGTCTGTATAATTATTTTGAATTATTTTTTTATTATTCAAAAGATCTTAAAAAGTTACATAGTAGTTGTGATAACGCATGATTGGTTTGGTGTCATGTCATAAATGTTAGTTATATAAAAAATACAGGCTTATAAGTCTTCGCAAGTGGCGTTATAGTTATGAGGCGGTAATAGAATCCACTATGAATATTACTTTATTCTATTAGCGACCGTAAAAAAAATGAGTAATAAACTAAAATATCTACTTTAATGAAGACGTGATCAGTGAAGTATCATTTTTATTAGGTTTTATTTTATATCAAATAGGTACTAATTAGAATTTAACAGGTTTTATTAAAATCTATTGCCATACATTATTAGAGATATTCTTTAATGTTCATTGCAGTTTTATGCCAAACCTATGACAATTAACGTATGGCGTTAATTGATTTAATTATGTGAAATATTCTTATGAATCGATCAAGATAATAAAATGGAGGTTAAATGCGTAATTAAAGATATAAATACTAAAATAAAAAACGTTATCAAAATTCTAACAACGCCATGGGTCGTTATTAGGAACCAAATTATTAAAAGTGTTTCTATTACCGCCCTTATTTAAAATTGTTTTTAAGCCACAAAAATACAGCGAGAGGGCTATATTGAGGGTTTATTAAGGAAACTAAAGTACGAATTAATATTGTTATGCAAAAACATGTTGGTATACTCATTTTAAATGTGTTAAAATCGCTAATTAATAACAAGGTGCACCTTAAGTAGCTGGGAGCGCGTCAGTATGAAAAGTGCGTCCGTTGCGGGCGCGTCCCATTTAATATCAAATAACTCCGTTTACTGGTTATTTACGAACACAAACTTTAATCGTTTTGATAGTCAATAAACATATCTAGATATTTTTTAGGTAACGTGTTTTCTGGAACCTGTTATTATGTCTTTTATGAAAGAAAGGAAAATAGGGCGGTAATAGAATACAAATTTTGGGGGGTCGTTAATAGGCGCACTTACGTTAATATAGACTTTACACATGATTTTTTTCGTGACGTACCTATCGATTCCGTGTCCCGTTGAATTAACTAATAACTTATTTTTGTATTAATAAATTAGAATAAGCTTTCAATAAAGAGTAATTTCTTTACTGAAAGTCAAGGGAAATGGGGGATATCATCTATCATTCATTATTTATTCTGTCGAAAATTATTTCACTCTTAATTATTTACTTGAATATCATAATTTACTTGACGTTGGCTATCAGATAATAATTTATAGAAAAACAAAAAACGTAGGTATACTTGGGTAACGATCTAGTAACTACTACAAATACTGTGACCCGTTTATGTATTTCAATATGGGAATAAGTGAATAAGTAGGTTTAATACTACTCGTACTAAATTGAGAATGTTACTAGGTATGCAAAATCACTTGAAACCTATGTTACAGTTAAGCTTTTACATTTACAAATACATTAGTTTTTATTTCATTCAAAAATACCCAGTAGTTATGATTTTATAGGCATTCAAAGTTCGCTTAAATATTGAGTCCCGCCGACGGTCACGTGACCCCGTGTGACGTACATTCACAGCGTCCGCTCACTAGAAAACGGATATAAACATACTTAAATATTTTTTTTTTGTAAATACAAACTTATTATACATATTAACACCCAGACCCATCACAGAAATTAAAATTGAACCAAACCCAAACTTGATGCGATTGTGTCGTTTATTGCGAATTACCTTCCAGCTCCATCATTAGACCCCGATTACTATATAGAATTAAAATACTCATCAATACAAAACGAACGAGCCCAAACTCGATGCATTTAAGTCGTTTTATTATAGAGTTCCTATGGCCACCTTCCAGCTCCATCATCAGATCAGCTCCATGTCATCATAATATTGCATGGTCATCCAAATCACATGTGTTTGCGAAATTTCAGCTTAATCGGTTGCCTGGAAGTGGGTCTTAATTCAGTTTGCAAGATTCCACCCATACAAATATGAGCCAGTCGTTGTAATATGACGTCACGCGCATAAAATGGCGGGCCGGCCGCCGCCCGCACTTTTAAAATTCAATATCTTGGAAACTAATTAACGTATCGAGATAATTCTTTCACGTGTATTTTTTATTTTTAACAGAGAATACAGAAAGCTAAAAAACAAAATTAGTGAACATTCTTCATTAGTAAACACGAATCGGATGTGTTTGTGTTTTACAAAATTTAATAGATTTTGATAAAATTTTATATTATTATGTAGATAGTAACTAGATATTGATTGACACACACAAAACCAGTTCAATCTAAACAACATAAAATAGTAGTGTTAGTAAAGGGCGCCCGTTCAAATCTAGTGGTCACATGTGATATTATGTAATAGTGTGATTTATCAACGAGAATTACAATTTACTGGTCAAAAGAACACATTTAAGGGCATTTAGGGTAGATAATTCCAGCATTGTACAACACGTCTTACTGTACTTGATTATATGAAGAAGATGTAACTCACTTAGAAAGAAACCTTTCGAAATACTTTAAACGAAAATCGGTTATTATTCCCCGAAATGTTTAAAACTTTTCAAAGGCAGCCATAAAATTACCCAAAATGACATTATAAATATTAAGGGTGCAATTACCGAAGCTATTGTTTCTTACCAATTCATTTTTGCCGCGTAAATCTTAACAACGCTCTATGGCTGAAGGTCCAGTTAGTGTAGACCCCTGGCTTCGTTAGTGTCGCCAGTTTTTTGCTCTGGTTAGTTGTGGATGAGAGGGGCGTGGGAGGTCTGGTGAAATGGGTGGGTATATTTATTTCGAGCGTCATTTTTGCCACGTTTCCCCTCCGCGGGGCGTTTTTGTAGGGAGTCCGGCGAAGTCCGTGTTGCTATGTAGCGGCCTGGAAAATAGAATTAATGTTTTTAAAACAAAAATAGATTGTATTATTACTACTTAAACTTCTTTTCTGTCTTTAGCTGACCTGATTGAAAGACCTTTGGTCTTCTTTTATTTTTTTTCATTTTAATGTTGCTGCTGAACTTACTGTTCGATATAAGACAATCGGCACCATGGGTAGCGCCATAGAACCGTCCTTAGTTGATGGGATGTCCATTCAAAGTGGACGCCTGCCACTTCTTCTTGTAGTCTTTCATTTCGTCCAGGGGTTGACCTAGAAAGATAAATGTTTCATTTTAGAAAAAAAATAAGAACAAGCTTAAGAAGAATATAAGTAAAATAGACATTAACGAACTGGTATGCATCGTTCCTTAGTCAATCGTCCACCTTACCAATATCATTCTATTCATAAATAAATAAATAAATAAACAAATGCAGTTTCTCTCACAAAATCCAAAGAGTTAAAGATAAAGAGCTTAATTTATTTCCCCGAAAAGGCGACGGCGCCGTCCCGAAGCGTCCAGCCTTCCTATCTTTTTGCGAGTCTTTACTTTCTTCAAATAATTGTATAGATAACGCGAACAAAGAAACGAACCCCCACCCTGTGGGGGGACATTTTTAGAGCACCCCTTTGATCAGACGTTTTGACGTTGTCGTTTAATTATCGGGGAAAAACCTGAGAAAAAGACGGAGAAATAAGATAGTTGTATTCCTTTCCAAATTACGAAAGTAGGCATTTTTCCTTTAATTCCCGTTTCCCCGTTTTTAACTCGACACTGGCAAGATAGCATAGCCACAAAAAAAAGATAGTTGTCATGTTATGGATAGAGTGGACTGGTGGTTCGATTGGCATCAAGCTGGGTACTAGTTTGAATCTCGGTGTATGCAAATGTTAGGGCGAAGAACACAACTAAGTATTTATACTCGGAGTCTAAGAGTAGGCGCACACCGTAGATTTTTAGTTGGCCGATAGTTGTGCCCGATTTTAATTTGTATGAAGAATTGGCCAAATCGAATCGGCGTAGTGTGCGCACTCCCATACATGCCCATACTGATCAACTGCCCGACTAAACTATCGGCCGACGAAAAATCAACGGCGTGCGCCTACTCTAACGCCCGTATTCACATAAATTACTATGAGGTCTCATAGTGCGCGTGGACGCACAGGGTGATACACGAATCAATCACAGAGCTCTATTCAACGCTGTGCGTTCGATTTGCTGCTTCACTTAAGCAAGTATCGTTTGTGAATGAAATGAAAAGCAATCCAGTTTTGCTGCTTTTTTCTTGGCCGATGTGTAGTGGTATCATGTGTACAGATATCTTATTAAGATGGTTAAAGCTGTATTCGTAGGGATATAACTATTAATTTACTTCAAAGCCGATCATAACTTATTAAACTAATAACTAAACGATTAGATAATGATAGTTGGAGAACAAATCTTTTGCCCCTATTGTTCTTAGACTATTCCTGAGCTAAATTATTGTAATCTTCATAAATAGTTGCTTTAGAATTACTTAATTCATTGTGTTATAACAAATCATGTCAAATTAACAATCATTTCAAAGTTACTTTATACTTTTCATATGAAACACATCAACTTAAAAGTTAACTCGCGGTTCTTATGTAGATAATTACGACTTTTACAAAGTGAAGGCCGGTCCAACTTACTACGAACAGAAGTTTATGAATTTTCTCCAAAGAAACATAAAACAATAATCGTCCAATAAGAAAAAGAAGCCAACATCAAACTGTCATTCCCTAGCAAGACCCCCACTGGCCATAGAGCACCAATCACTCCCTTTTTTTACCCACCAGACAAGGACAAAAATACCAACATCCCTCAAGAGCGAGCGGGAACAAACAATGACCGGTCTCGAATTTTAATTTTCTTACGATTTGAATCTTAATTTTTCGCGGGGTGATAGCCTATCCCGCTCCAACTCGAGTAAACAGTTCTCCGTTTCATTCTTTTCTTTTTTTCGAGGGGTGGCTAGGTGGTTGTCTATACCGTCTTAATTTGTTTTCTTTTGACGCAGCGAAGACTTCTTAAACAAGACTTTTTGATGAAAATTTTAATTCTCTTGTCGTTTGCATTTTGCGAAAGCCATTAATTTCTTATAAAGGAAAGCCCTTGAGCTGTTTTCAGAGGGTTTTAAAAGTACTTAGTAATGTTGTAATTAAAAATCTTAAACTTATGGAAGTGCTTGACGGAGGAATTTGGAAACATGTAGGTATGTAGGCCACATGGCATAGTGGGTTGCGCATACCAGACTAATGGACCCGGGTTTCGATCCCGTTGGTGAAATGGTGACATACGTTAGTTACCATGAGCGCGAGCAAGTCATAGATGACAATAATACCTTAAAATAAATAAAGTATGTGCATGTCAGTAATAATTACGTATGCGTCCTCTAAGTCTAAGTACTCTCATAGTACACTACAAGCAATGTTTCAGTACTGAATATGGGATGGCTATGTACTTAATACATTGTGTTACTTTTACATACTTGTGAGATAACGGCATTTTTTTATGCTTTTAGGAAATTTTCAAAATGTAACTGGGAAATGGTCAATCAAGTGTCAGAAAAATTCCAAATCGTATGTGTATGAGAAAGTAGGGACATTGTGTATAATAACATTACTTTCTTCTTCTTCTTAGTCTTGCTTATATGCCTTTTACTCGTACCTTAGTACCTTCTACTGAAACTAATTGTCACTATTCACTTTTTAAAATAAAATAAAAGTTAAAATTTCCCAACAAAACATCGCCAAACTCCTTACCTCCCAAAAATATAACCAACAAACTCCAAAGTAATAATTCTACAAGCCCACCTTTACAAAACATTATTTTTCTTGTAACCGGTCTTGTAGCGTTTCCCATTCCCTCTTTAAATTAAAAACAATTATGAGAGGGACCGGAGTGGGCGGGCGGCGCGAGATGAAAAATTAAGACAATTTGAACGCCGCCCTTGGATAGATAACTTGGGTACTGGTCATAACTGCTACGAAACTTGTTAAGGATTTTGTGGAAAAATTGTGGATGAAAAAAAAAATGACGAATGGCCATGACGTAAGCGAATAAAATATCCACAAATGTGTCGTGAGCGTCCACAAAAACACCTATGAAGTTTCCAGTTTCTAAATATTTAAAGAAACTAATTTTCTTTTCAAATCAAAAATGTACCTACCTAATATTTTATTTGTGTAGAATATGGACAGTGACATTAAAATAGTACCCCGTCATAAATAATTAGTAGAAATTAATCGATGATAACTTCAGTACCAGTTTTCAGGAATTTCGGGAAAGAAAATATGGGTATTCAAAAACCTTTTCAAGGCGAGAGTGAATAGGCACTTACAGGGCACATAATGTACCACCATCCTAGACTGCATCTCACTTAACACCAGGTGCGATTGCGGTCAAATGCCTGCCTTGTTATGAATAATAAAAAACTAGTTATTATATGTATTATTTCGATGAAATAAAAAAGTGGTCTCCACTGAAGAGTGAGAGATTTTATTATAGGTAAAAAAAAAGTCAAAAGTCAAAATTTCTTTATTTGTTTGGACTAATAAATAGTTCTTACAAATCGTCATTTTGCTCTTAAGGAGCCTCTACATGTCTCATAATCTTTTTACCCTACCAGCGCTTCGAGACCAACATTTGGCAAGTGCTGAGAAGAAGCGCCGCAACAAACTCAGTCACCACTGTCTGCCGGTTAATATAAATAAATAGAAATAGTAGTAGTGTAACACGACNTATAAATGTACATTTAATTGCCAATTTTCATGATGTATCATCAGAAGTGCGTGTAATTCAGATTCTTAGACTTTATTACATAGATCGTTAAAAGACTTGCAAGTCGACCTAATAAAAGCCTGTTAAAAATATGACTAGAGAAAATAAATTGAGTTTGAATCGCGACATTACACACAGTAACTAAAAGTATAGGAGGATATTCAAATACATACAAAAATATAAAAAAAAAAAGTACTAGGACAATGGAAAGTGATGGACCAGAATGAGGGTGATTAATCAGAAGCTAATAGCAATATTATGGTGAAAAATTAAACTGAAAATAGTAAAACAGTGAAGCAATAATGATCAAATGATTAAAACAAAGCGCCTAATGAAGAAGCGCCTCAAAAGTTAATTGAATAATAAATTGTATTTATTTCAAATTAAAACAAGGAAGGGATGTAGTGTTTAGACATTTGTCTCGAGCGCATACGTCACAGCTGTGTCACACAGCCCAGTCAGCGGTGGGGGCATTCGGCGTCCGACCGTGGTGCGGGCAGGTCGTGCTGTGTGCGTAGGCGAGCCAAATAATAATCTAATGGCGGAGATAAAGGTGTACAATACAAACACGATACGCCCGAAGTGAACGCACACACGCACCGCGAGTATACGGTCTGCTTACGTAACACGGAACTGACCGGACTCTCGCGTTGTGACGTCACATGCACGCCTCCCGTGCTTAAAGCTAGATTTACATGAACTAATTAATTGTTGCCTCGCATTAGCTTAGATGATAATGTTTCACGCNCGGACACCGAGCCCACAGCGTGGTAGGGGTGGGGTTGCCCGCTCTTTTGTTTTTTACTACTACTACGCTGAATATTGTGTGCGGATTGGCTTGTCGTACAGGGGTACTACACGGTAAAATAAATCTCGGAGGCAAAAACAGGATAATTCTGCACATTGTTTACATTCATACTTAGCTCAAATGCACAATCCGATCCTGTTTTTATGACTTCATTATTTTTCACGCTTCTTGCTATAAAATTATTAAGAAAATGCTATTGTACTAAATATGGCCCTAATGCATACGCCGATCCTAGATTTCCGCTTTAATTAGTTTACTCATACTTTTGATATAAACTTTATTGATTAAACGTAATTGTTTAGTTTCCTATAAAGTGTGGCCCTGATTCATATACCAATCCTTGTTTTATGCTTTGCACATGCTTTTGTAATGAACTTTAGTAATTAGACGCAATTGTTTAGTTAGTAATTAAGTTTAGATCAAATGTATATACCGATCCTTGTTTTGTGTTCTAATTGAATTGCTCACACTTTAGTAATAAAGTTTATTAAGTAAATACAATTGTATAGCTTGCTATTGTATCCGGCTCAAATGCATATACCGATCCTCATTTTTGCTTCTAACTAATGTTAAAATTACGCTTTACCATAAGATTAATTAGTCAATGCAATTAGTA